TCCCTGACTCCAGGAACTCCAGATGGGATTGCTGATGTCTCTTCAGCAGAGAAAAGGAAACCAGACTTGCCAACTGGTTTCAGGAAGAAATTACTATTAAGTGCTAGGCAAGATATAGGCAGCTTTTATAACAGGGTCTGGCCAAGCCCTGGTCACACCACACAAAGAGAGTCAGGTTAAAAATATTAGATATTAAGACCGTTGCAGTGGTCTTGCCAGGGGACTACACACAGAGCTGCCTTTCAGCACCCATGGGGTATGCGGGAGGTTGCTTTAATGCCCAGCCCTGCTTCTCCTGGGGCCCAGGAGTGTGTAAGAGAAAGCCAGGGAGGGTTCTTGCCCTCAGGAGTTTTTGCCCTGCCAGTTCTCCTTGGCATTGGCTGGGAGAAAGGTCAGGGTAAAGTGCGAATAGTCTGAGTAATTTAGTATCTCAGAAGGTAACACAACTTGGGGGGGTTGTGTGTGTGTGTGTGTGTGTTTTAAATATGGCAAACTTGGGGCCCAGCTTTTGGCTTCTAGGACCTTTTGGTAGAGTGAATGAAAATGAAAGAACAAAGGCCATAGAGTTGGTGAATCAGATCAAGTGACATCCCTCTAAAACCAGAAAAACTGGCCTAGGCCTGCTGGACAGCACTGGGGTCATGGTCACTTCCAAGGAGAGATGGCTGCTTCAGGGAGGCCAGGGTAGGGGCACTAGGAAGGATGGGGCCATCACATACTTTTCATATTACTCTTTAGGTAAGGACAGTGGTTCCGGGAAGCTCCCTAACAACTGTGTGCCCTGGGAAAATAGCCAGAGAGGAATCAATTGAGAGACTGGGGGAGGAGCTTAGAGGGAAGATCTCAAGCAGGGGCTAATGCTCAGGGTGGGAGCCCTACCTGGACCCCTGGTTGGAACCTTCCAGGGTCCAGGGAGAGGCTGAATGAAGGCCCCGAGACCGTGAGGGGATCGTAGAGGGAAAGAAAGGGTAGAGCAGTGAGAGAGGAAGGAACCCCTAAACAGAGCCGTTACCGAAGGAATGCTTCTGAAGGCTGGCCCCAGGCACAGTCTTCACCTTGAGGCCTGGCAGGCAGTTTAGGAGCTGGGGCGAGTAGGGGAACTAGATCTTCAGGAAGCAGCTTTCCAAGTTTCAGAATAGAAGAGGATAAACTGGAACATTCTTAAGTGGCAAATTTTTCGAGATGGTTGGGAAGGTCTTAGAAATAAAGAAGGCAGTGACTAGAAGCTGATAAGAGTGCATGGAAAGCCCCCTGTTGAAGGAAGTTGGAAAACAGATGGAAAAAAGGACATGTAACTAAAGATGAAGGTAGCATATGGTCCAGAGTGAGGGGAAGCGTGTGGTGAAACTCAGGATGACCAAGAAGAACAAAGAATGCCTGCTGTTGGAGGCCAGTGGCACAACATAAGAATGAACAGAAAGAAGCTGGAGGGACTGGAGTCTGTTTTGTTTTCATCTTTTCTTTTGAGCTTGAAAAGGTAGGACAAATAGTGGTAGGAGGAACATGAACCCCCCCAAGATGAGTGATTCATCTGACCTTGGCAAGTTCTGTCTTGGGGTGCTGAGGTTATAGTCGGTGACCTACAGGTTGTGTGGGAGGCAGCAGAGGGGCTACAGGCAATACATAACTAATGTCTGTTCATCAAAAAGAAAAAGGAGGTGGGCTCCACAGTTTATCGACGAGGCTTGTAAGCACTTAGGAAATGGTTGTCACAGGGCTTGATTGGGCTCACTGGGAATAAGGCATATCAACTTTAGTTTATTTTTTTGAGTATTAGACAAACTATTTTTGGATTTAGGTGAGGTTTTGATGTAATCTTAAGACATCCCCTGACTACCTGGTGGTGATGTCAGCATGTTTGCAACCAGTGAAAGATTCTGCTTGGGAAGGATTCTTCCCCACGCCCACCCCCCAGCCAGCAAACCTTATGGAAGGGCTCTGTTCTGGATTTTGTTCTGTTCATGATTTGAATTCGTGTCTCAGGGCTTTACTGATGGTGGTGGTGCTGCCTGAGAACAGGCCAGGAGGAACAGGACTGAGATCTCAAGAGTTCTCCATAGCTTGAGCAAACAGCAGGCCAAGTCTGGAAAGGTGGACTTTATCAGGTAAAAGTGAAAAGCTACATTTGGGACCAGAAAGATTAGCCGCACAGGCATAGTCTAGGGCTTGTGGCTTGGTAGGAACATGGATGAGAAGAACTCTTTTGAATTTTTGCTAATTGCAAGCTACATATAAATCAGCAGGAGGATGTAGCTTCCAGAAGAGTTGGTGTGGGTGCAGGCGTTGACAGACACTCAGAGGGTCCCAGGGATGTGATATTCCAGGTTCCCCGAGCCTAATGCTGGGACACCTCTGGCTCCTACAGGCAGAAGAATCTCTGACCTCTGAGCTCTTTAGTTCTGAGAGATTTCATTTCATTTCGTTTGTAATTTTCTCCCCTCTGTTTTTCTGTTCTCTCATTCTGGAATTCATGGAACTCTGGAATTGATCTGACTTTTGTCATCTTTTTCCCTTGCTATTGTCTATCTCTTTATCTTTTTGTCCTACTTTTTAGACGATTTCTTCTAAACTTATATTGAGGGTTTTTTTTTTGTTTTGTTTTGTTCTTTTTGTTTTTTTTTTACTTTTATTGATTCTAGAGAGAGGGGAAGGGATGGAGAAAGAGAGGGAGAGAAACATCAACCAGTTGCCTCTTGCATGCCCCCCAATTGGGGACCAAATCTGCAACCCAGGCATGTGTTCTGACTGTGAATCGAACTGGCGACCTTTTGGCTTACAGGATTGATGCCCAACTAACTGAGCCATCCCGGCCAGGGTGACTTATATTGAGTTTTTTATTTCACTATTTATAATTTTAATTTCCAGGAGTTCTTTTTTATTCCCTGCATGTTCATTTAAAAAAAAAAGAAAGTGTCTGATCTCACCTAATCTGATCTGATTTGATCTGCTGATACCGCTTTCCACTTCCATCTTCCAAAAATGTGTTTACATATTTTAACTGCATTTTGCTTTGTTTGGCGTTTTTTGTCCTCTTCTCTTGGTGGTTCATACTATTTACAAGACCTCTTTACTCAGTGGGCTGTTGGGAGGGAGCAGAGTTTAATCCACCTTATTTAACTGAAAGTGAAATTTAACTTTCACTTAACCTTTATATATCCTTTTGTTTTAAGTGTGTCTGTTTAGACACCTTTTGATGTGATTGATGGATTTAAAAACATCCAATATGAGAATCTGAATTTTGACCAGGGAGTTTAAACCATTATATATTTACTATAATTACTGTTAATCAGGACTCCTGCCATCTTATTTAATGCTTTATACTTATCACGTGTTCTTTGCTTCTTTTTTGCTTTCCCTGTCCTTTATTGTGTAGACTGAATTTTTCAAAATTCAAAAGTTAAATATTACTCTTCTTACAGTTACCTCCAACTTCCTATGCCCCAATCACTGTCTGTGTCTTAAGAGTCTCAGCACCATCCTGCCTCTCTCTGCTCTCCCCACCTGTGTTGGTCCCTCAGCAGTGCAGTGGAGGGAGGTCAGCCCTGCCCATTTGCTGTCTTGTTCAGAACTGGACAAGGCTTGTTCAGGGCTGTCCTAGAAGGGACCCCAGTGCTCAATGGGAGTTTGATTTAAACGACTTTTAAAAAAGGTCCCAACATTTTGAGCAAGTTCCGAGGATGACAGGTTCTAGGGGGGAAGTGAGAGGGAGAATGGACAAGTCCAAGAGCTCTCCAGTAGAGCTGGAAACAGCAGACCTTCTGAAGTTCTTTTGCAGGCTGCCTTCTTGAGACTTCTACTCCCTGTTTTGCTCTTAAGTGCTGTGTAGAATACTGTCCTATAAGAGGCAGGGGAGAAATGAGGAGAGGGGGCTTTGGGGAGCCGATAGGGAGGGCTGGGACTAGATTGAATGGGCACAGGCACACCCCACCCAAAGAGGCAGCCGTTACTCAGTCCCACTAAGTCATTATCAATAGGGGTGTGGAATGTGGAAGAGGAGCTCCAGCAGTGCCAGAGCTTCCAGGTTTTTAAGAAAACCTTTCACATTGTGTATATGGGCTCAAAAAAGTTTATAACCCCATGCACGCCAAACAGCATGTCTGCGGACTGGATCTGGCAGACAGACACTGCCACCCATGGCCCCTGCTCTGGTTAGTCAATGATTCTGTCCATGTTACCCTTGACATCTCTCCCTCCTGGATAAATGTCCCCGAAAGGTATGATTTCCTATATCCTTCACCTCTCAGCCACCTCCTCTGGGCCCCTTTACCCTGCCAGCTTAACTGCTCTAGTGCCATTCACATTACCGTGTGCTGTTTCTCACAGCCATCATTCTGTTAAGCACCGTAAACATCCCCCTTGTTTGCATTATTAACTTATCAAGTAAATGAGTAGTGTGAAGGTAAACTTTGTTCTTGCCCCGCGAGTGGAGGACACACGGGTTTGGTTTTCCCAGCACCTGTCTGCAGCCGGAGCCTGTGAGTCCTTGTCCCCAGGAGTACGAGAAGGGCCTCTGCCTGCTCTCTCTCTGGGGCATGGATGCAGACACCACATGCTGGGCTCAGCTCCCAGTGCCTTGGCCTGCAGTGGGCGGGGCTTATGTGGCCCAGAGCCCGGAACCTGTGAGCCTCCTTGGGATGGCCCCTCCAGCCTGTCATGGCCTCTGGGGTCCTCTTGTCCTGCAGTCCCTTCCCTCCTGGCTCTGTCTCTTGCTTCACTCTACCGGAGTGGCAGGGGCCTGCAGCATTATAAATGTGGGCAGTTGGTGACTCATTCATTACTCATTCCTCTGCAGCCCCCTAGATAGGGAAGTGAGACAGCCACACCTGGTGGGACTTGACCTTTGGGTAACAGTGGAAGTGGCTATGCAAACTGCCAGGGAGTGAGAAGGCCTCTCTATAGCCAGGCTATGAAGAGAGCGCTTGCCTGGCCCGGCCCCACGTGGCCTCCAAGAGTGGCTCTGGTAATAGTTCCTCTCTCCCCCACTTCTTTCTTTGTGACAGCTGGAAGTAGCAGTGGTTACGACTGAAAGAGCCAAACATTTCTACAGCCTCCAGGACATTCCTGTTACCCTGTACAGCGATGCTGATGAATGGGAGGTCGGTGCTGCGGGCCCCGGGGCTGCATTCCATCAGAACCGGACTGTCCTCCTGCAGTCCGTAGTCCTGGTGGCTCAACCAGACAGGCGAGGCTCAAGTCAGCAGTCAGGGCCCTTGGGCCAGAGAAGATGAGGAAAACATCTGTCTAGCTCTGGCCTGTGGGAGGCCTGCAGCCTCCTCCCACCCCCGGCAGAGCTCAGCTTTGGCTCTGGCTCTGTGCCTGTGGTTGGGTGTCCTTGTACTTATCTGGGCTGATGAAACCACAGAAGAGCTCTGTTCCCCTCACCCTTGTCCACGTGGCTCCCAGTGTCAGGGCTCTCCAGAGCGCCTCACTTCCCACAGGCACTGGGCCCTGCATCTTCTCTCCCACAAAAGGGTGGGCATCGGCTAATTCACCAGACATCAAGTGTGAGCTTCACAGGGGTGCCCAGCCAGGCATTTTTAAACATTCTCAGCCTAGAACATTTCTGATTGGTCCGTCTTCCCCAACTCTGCCCCTCCCCCATTTCTCACTGCCCCAGACATTTCTCTCTGTCCACTGGCTTGGATGGCCCAAGCATCCTCCTCAAGCAGACAGGGCAGGAGTTCCGTGCCAGATGTCGGTTCTCTTGAAAACCAAACCATAAAGGGAATATCTTGGAAAGACAAGGGGCATTTGTTTCCTCAGGCCTGGTTTCTCTCAGGCTGTTGGCTCCGCAGCCGGTGTTCCCACCGCCTTAGCTGTGGGAGGGAGTGGCAGCGGGCTTGGGCAGGGGTTGCTCAGGTGGTCTTCCTTGGGTTCCTGACTTAGTGTCCCTCATTTGTGTTGCTCCTTCCATCCTCCCTCCCTCTACATAGAGCTTGGTGAGCCCAATGACCCCATTTCTTTCTCTCTGCCAGATGTGGAAGCACAGATCTGATCCAGTTCTCCACGTTGACCTGCGGAGGTGGGCGGACCTTATGCTGGTGGCCCCTCTTGATGCCAACACTCTGGGGAAAGTGGCCAGTGGCATCTGTGACAACTTGCTTGTGAGTGACTCCCTGTGCCCTCCTCCTTCCCTGGGCCTTGCTCTCAATTTGCTGAGCTACAGACTGCCTTTGCACAAGGTTCTTGCCTTGAACTCCTTTTATGGTGGTCCAGTTTGCTCAGAACACTGTCCCCCTGCTGCCCACCCGTCTTACCTATACTCTGGCAAGTAGGCAGAAGATGTGGTCCTCATGGATGGACTCGGCTTGCAGGTACTCTCTGGGGCTGTCCACCTCTCACCTGCCCTGTGTCCTTCATTCGCTTCCCTGCCTGGCCCCTGTCCCTCGTTGCTTGCCTTCTCACCAGGCTCTGCGTATCCACATGGGGACCTGATAAGAGTGTTTGCTTCCTCATGGGTCTCTCATGCACTTATCTCTTTTGTGGCCTTAGCCACAGGTGGCGGTGTGGGTTTCCTGTGTATTGTGGAAAACTTGGAGGGGATGTGAGGGCAGGAGTATAAGCTGATGGACAGTGGAGGAGAGGAACACAAGTTCAACTGTGCCAGGTGGGGACTGATAGACCTCCAGGAAGCTATTGTCCTTAAAGAGCCTTTGTGTACTTGATCATCCTGGGAAGAGTTAGGCATGATCTCCCTCCTCCCTCCCTCTGCTTCATTACCCTCCCTTTTTTCCTTCATTGAGCTGTTACCTGGCATGAACTGGACCCCATGCTGGGGAACAGGCAGGACAGAGGGAGCTCACAGTCTGGAAGGAGAGGGCTTTTGGTCACCCATGCACCCAAGGGAGTATGCCCTTGTGTGTCGCCCAGTCTTAAGTGACACCAGTTGGTCTTTTGACAATAGAGTCACCGCCTTGCACAGTGCTGGGCATATAGTAAGTGTTCAATAAATACTTAGTGTATGCATAGGTAATTAGTAATCTTATTTTGGCAAACAGCCAGGAGTTTTTCAGTGTTGAATAACACTTCACAGTGGTGAAGAAGTGAATCACTAAGCTGGGTCAATATTTTGGAGGGCCAGAGAGGTTAGTCTCCTCCTATGCTTATTGATGGCACTTAAGGCACTTTTGGAAGAATCTAGTGATTTGAGCATCATTTGAAGAAGAGCAGCACACAGATTGTGTGGCCAGTAGCAGGGCGGGGAGTACAGAGATGGGTGAGCCTTGGGGCAATGTGATCAAGAGGGCTTCTCAGAGGGCCTGGGGCCAGGGCTGACAGAGCAGCTGGAACCTGGAGTCTCCTGCCACTTTCATTCAATTGTGTCAGAGTTGTATGTGGCCACCACTGTGTCACCAAATCTCCAGACCCTGCCCCTGCTGGTCAGCAGCTGGCCAGTGTGGCAAAGCACATCAACCTCTAGGAGTTAAGCCCTGACCTAGGCCACTCTCCAAGGGCCCCCTCCTCTCTCCCGATAGTTTGGCTTCCCCTTTTTCTTCAAAGCTGCCACTGCTCCTTGGAATCCTAGTGTTCCCTCCTCCTGAGTTGACTGAGCAGTAGAATATGTTTCCAAGAGCAGTCCCCAGACCATTTTCCTCAAAGGGTTTCACTTGAAAGCAAATATTTTAAGGAATTGCAAATCTTACAGTGTTTAAACTGTCACTTTGCTCTGTCATCCTTTCTTAAAAGATGTTGTCTCCTTATATCCCTGAAAAGAAGCTTGTCCCTGCTACTTCACTCCTTCAGTTCTCCTACCTTCCCAGTGACCAGAACTTAGGGTGCTGCTAGAGCAGTGTGCTGGGTGCGAATCTGTATACTGACCCCCGGACCCTTGGCATCTGACCTGTCTTCTGGCCTACTCAGTCCTTGGCCCTTTCTTTGTGCTAAACAGCCAAGCATATCCAGAAAGAGAAGGTGACTTCCCTGGGTCACTAGTCTAACTAGGAGCTGGTCTTCTGACCAGGATCCAGTCCTTTTCTCCACCCAAGCGGATTCCCAGGGACAGAGCCTGAGGTGCTGAATATAACATTGTCCACACAGAAGTGACTGTGGGAACCAATGCCGTCTTCATGCCTCTTGTGGCCAGAAGGTTCAGATGAACTGTGGTTTGTCCAGGGAGCCCTGAAGTTCGAGATGAGGTAGGCATAGCTAGAGAGGTGTGGGACATGGGAGGGTTGGGTTTCTGCTCTGGTCAGTGTGCTTTGTTTTGAGGACACGCAGAAACCCCAGCCCAGCCCCCACCCCACACCACATGCAGCAAGAGGGCTCTTCTAGGTATGCTCATGACTTCTGCAGAAGCAGCAGGTGGCACGGGGCCAAGAGGAAATGTGACTGAAACTGTCTACTCATAGTCCCGTTGCTAAACTGAGAGGTCTTGGTGGGAAACATGCTGGTATTTGGGACTAAGCAAACAGCCAGATCCTGAGGCTGTGTGCTGTCCTACTTCCTTACTGTCCCCAGGAGAGGGCAGGGGCACTGAGAACGGTAACATAGGTCCTGAACTCTTTATTTCATTGTTTTCTGGACTCTCCTTTCTTTTCCCAGACAGGCCGCACTTTAAGGAAGGCGGTGTGCCAGCTTGTCTCTCTGAGGGGCCAGCAGTCCAGGAGAAGGTGACTAGAGTAGTCAGCATGGAGGGGCATACTCCTGGGGGCCCCAGAGCTTGTTTATCCCCCAGGCAGCCTTTGACCCAGGGAACTCATGCCCATAATATTCATAGGAGCTACCGTTTCTGGAGCCTGTACTTTCTGCCAAGCTGTGCGTGAAGAGCTTTAAGTGTTTTCACACGCAGTCCTCAAACTACCTGGTGAGGGGGGCTTTTGTAAGAGGAAACTGAGACTCTTGGCATTAAATAACTTGTCCAATTTCTCACAGCTAGTAATAGTAGATAACTCAGACAGGATTTGAACCCAGGTCTATGTGATTTCAAAGCCCACAGTACTAAGGACTTCCTTTCACAACTGCTCTGTGACTGGATGGGAGGCCTGGAAGTCAGGAAGTGGTGAGGCTGTGAGGTGCAGTGAAGGTTGTGCAAAGCGTTGTCTGGATGTGTGACCTTGGACAACTGCTCACCTCTGGGGAATGCAGCTCTACCGTCAGTGAAATGGACAGCACCTTCTCATAGGGTTGCCGTGGCGGGTTCATGGAGCATATATGTGAGGGTCTTTGTCACATGTAAGATGTTTTTGTTGCCAGCTTTGTTGGCCTTGAAGAGGAGTCAGTGTTCGTGTGCATGGGTCCTACCTGCTGAGCGGTCTGGTCCTTAGCTTTGTGGGTAACTGCAGAGTTGGCCTTCTGCTGCCAGGATTGCTTCTGTCTGCGAGTTGTGGCCGGCTGTGGAGAAGCCTTGTGGTTGGGCACAGGAAGACCTATCTGCATAGGAGGGGAGGTCTGCCTGGAGGTGGCTGGTAGAGCACCTTCTGGGCCCTGTGCCACAGCCTGTGGGGAGGTGGAAAGGGGCAAAGAGACATGACCCTCCCACCCCCTGGGGGACAAGAGACAGCTCGCTGTAGACAGCAGCCCCCAGTTATCCCAACGCCGAGGCTGGTTATGGCCCAGAGGATGGTGTGCAGGATTGGGAAGGGCTGGCGGGCAGAGCAGCAGGCTTTCCCACCCTTCTCCCACCCTTCTTCACAGACCTGTGTCATCCGGGCCTGGGACCGCAGAAAGCCCCTGCTCTTCTGCCCAGCAATGAACACTGCCATGTGGGAGCACCCCATCACCTCGCGGCAAGTGGGTCAGCTCCAGGCCTTCGGCTATATCGAGATCCCCTGTGTGGCCAAGAAGCTGGTGTGTGGCGACCAAGGTGGGCATGATGGCCAGGTTTACTTCTTGTTCTCATGGCCCAGGATCAGCCCTGGGCTCAGATCCCAGCCTGTTGTGACCTTAGGCAAAAATTCTCCTGAGCCCGGCTTTCTCATCTGGAAGATGGAAATCATAATTCCTTCCCCTCAGAGTTTTTAGAATTAAATGAGATAGTTTATGTAAGGTGCATGGTATGCTAGGCACATAGTCCATGCATATTTCATGACAGCTATGGTAGCTGTTCTTGGGGCCTGTCCTAGAGAGGTTTCAGAAGGATGTATGGGTCTGGCTCAGGCAGAAGGTCCTAGCCTTCTCAGGTACTGGGCTGTGGGTGGAGACCTCGGGGGAGCACTGGGTGGGGTGGGAGTGGGAGGTTGTACACTGCCTCAGTCCGCAGAGCCACAGCAGAACTTTGCTCCCTAGGTCTGGGGGCCATGGCTGAGGTGGACACTATTGTGGACAAAGTGACGGAAGTCCTCTCCCAGCAAGCTGGCTACCAGCAGAGTTGAACCCAGGATCTCTGTCGTGTGTCCCTCTGTACCTAGAGTGTTTTCAGGCCAAGTCAGTGAGGGTGCATTGGTAAAGTATGGTGAAAATTCTCCTTTGCTGAGTAGGGACCTGGCCTGGGCCTTCTCCACAGTCTCCAAGGGCCTGTTCTGCCCCAGGTTAAATTGGCCCAAAGGCCCAGAGCTCAACTTCTTTCAACCAGGATACATCAGCTATCCGGAGCTCCTCCCTGCCTTTTCCTGGGAGGGGCCCAGCAAGCCAGAGGAGCGAGCTGCCATATTGTCCCCGTGCCTCTGGGAGGGGCCTGAGGAGTGACTGACCAATTTTGATTCTACATGCCTGGAAACCACTTTTAGAAACTGCCTCCGCTGGAGGTCCCCAGTGTGATGGCCCCCTGCCCGGCCTTTGGAGCATCCGCTGCCATGTGGAGTCAGTAAAGCCTGAAAGTTGGCAAGACCCTGAGATTTCCCACTGACTGTACTGTGAGATGTGGGTACTGGGAAATAAAGTTAAATGACCTTTTGAGAGACTCTGTGCTTCCTTCACAGCCTGCCTGTGGTCTCAGAGATCGGGGTGTTGCTAAGTGTGGGTTGGGACGGGTCTGGGCTGACTACTGACTGGTGCTTCTTAGGCCCCCATGTCATATGATAGTTAAGGACAAAAGGGCTGTGAAGCAAGACAGCCCCTAGTTTAAATCCCAGCTCTGCCACATACCGGCAGTGGGGCCTTGGCTCAGGGCTCAGCCTTTCTGACCTTCACTCTCCTCATCTGTATTGCCTTACCCTTACGGAGTTGTTGAGAGGATCAAATAAGATAATTTGTGCAAAATAACCACCCCACTGAGTACCTTCGACACACTACATGTCAAATAAATGGAAGTTAAAGCTAGATATGTGTACATACCAGTGAGTGTTCTTAACATTCACTGAAATAGACTGTCTCATTTTGGGAAAAATAAAATCCTCACCCTAAGCAGACACGGCCCTTTATGCAAGTGACAGGCACACGGCCAGCAGGATTGGAACCTGCCCTGGATCTTAAGCCCCGTGCCTCTTGGTGTCCTCATCACTTTTGCTGAGCCTGAGATGGGGCCTGAGTGTCTGTTTCTCCCTGCCTCCCCCAACAACCCACATAGATGGCAAAGCAGACTCCAGACATGTGTTCAGCCCTAGAAACCCTCTGCGCTCTGCCTTTGACCTAATTGCTATTTGGTGGCTGCACTGGGGAGGTGCTTGTCTGCCTATTTGGAGCTGAGATTAGGGCCGACTTCCTGCCCTCCTGCCTTCCAGGCCAGGGGTGAGAGAGACCCCATGCATGCCCTTAGACCACAGAGGGTAGAGGTGCTTTCAAGGGATACCAGGAAGCCTGCTGGCAGGAACCAAGGCCTCCAGCAGCTTCCAAGAGCCTCTATCTCTACAGCACTTGACTTAACCAAGTGATCCTTTGGGAAAAAATTGCCTTAGGGCACTAAAGAAAATAATGACTAAAATGGCAACTTCAAGAACCAGCCCCTTTGGCTGGTTTGGAGGTGGGGTATGAGGAGGGCCTGGATAACTAAAATCCAGAGATGATCTCAAAGTTCCAATTAAATAAACAGCCCTCCTCCTGTCCACATGGCCCTTCCTTTCCGAAACTCAGCACCCTGCTAATGAACGGTGAGGCTTTCCAGTCTTAACAGCAACCGCTTAAGTTACTGAGCGCTTATTGTGGGACAGGCTTTGTGCTGGACACTGTTGGGAAGGGAGTTGCCCAGGAGCCCTGCTACAAAATACCTGTGTTGATAAAAGGTCACAGGAGCAGAGAGATGTGTAGGTCTTTGCCTGATACCTCTGAAAACAGCTGTGGCTACTCAGAGCCTATTGGGTGTTGTTGGCTGGAAGGAAAGAGGTATTTCCTTGAGTGTGGGTCAGCTGCAGACCCCATCCCTTGGGGTCCGCCACTCCACTGTGATAGTCCTGCAGCTCTCTCGCCAGTTTTGCATAGGTGTCTTGATGAATTGGCTAGGGCTGAAAGGCCCAGTTGTTCTTGGCCATGCCTGGTGCCTGAGCTGCATTAACCTGGCCTCATCTGCTAGAGGAGCACTGAGGTGGGAGTGATAAACATGGCTTCCCCTCCGAGTTAAAGCTCTTACAGTCATCATTGGGCAGAAATGTTTCTTAGAGAAGATGCTAACTTCCCTGATGGTTTTTTTTAATTCTCACTTGAGGATATTTTTATTGATTTTGGAGAGAGAGAGAGACTGGGAATCACACCCACAACCTAGGTAGGTATGGGAACTGACCGGGGATCCAGTCTGTAACCTTCTAGTATATGGGATGATGTTCCTCCAACCAACTGAGCCACCCGGCCAGGGCTTCCTGATGATTTTTATAGAATTCTGGGAGTTTGATAGAATAGAACATTTGGGTCTGAAATTTGCGCTCTCATTTGGCTTCTGGAGCTTCTAGACTGCTGGGCAAGATACCTCTGAGCCAGGGCCCAACCTCCACACTGAACTGTCAGTTCTTCCTCCATAGGCTAATGTGTCCCTCTGCCCTTCCTCACTGCCTCAGGGTAAGACCCTGACTCCTGGACATGACATACTTGGCCCTCTGTTATCTGGCCCCTGCCTTCCTTTCTAGCTCTACCTCTTACCACACACCAGCCCTGCAGGGCTGTCTGTCCTTTTGCCAGACTGGACAACCTTGACAGAGTCCTGCTGCTCCTTGCCTTGGCACATGCTGCTGCTTTTACTGGAAGGCCGTTCTTCACCTGGCTGATTCCTACTCATGCCTCCAATGTGCCTGGGTGCCACCTCCTTTAGAAAGCCTTCCCTGGCCAACTCAGGCTGGTGCACATTATGCCCCTTCTCATTTATTATAATATAGTATTGCAACAATGAGTTTAGTTTGGGTCCCCCTAAAATTAGGATCTACTGGAGGAGAAGAGTTGTCCTGTTCCTCACAAAACCTGGGAAGTCATTCCAACCTTGTACTGACAAAAGTTTAAAAGGGGTGTGGAGGCCTCAGTCCTGTTCTTTTCTGAGCAAGACACACATAACCTAGGAGCCATAAAAGCAAAGACTGATAAATTTGACTATAGAAAAATAATTTTGCCTAGCAATAGCCCAAAGGCAAAGTCAAAAACCAGACAAACTGGGGAAAGTATCTGTAGCTCATAGAACAGAGATCCAATCCCCTATTACATAAAGAGCTCCTATACATTGATTAGAAAAGTGAGTAGAGGATAAAAACAGTACACACAGACAGACAGACACACACAGACCCTTAACCTTAAAAAGCTACTCAGCTACATTCATGAGGAGAGTGGTGCAACTCAAACTACTAAAAGAAAAGTTTTCACCTGTTAGATATCAAGAGTGTGGGGAGTGGGCACTCTCACATTTTGCTCTTTGGAGAGCAATCTAAAAATACCTTTCAAAATCACATATTACACAGGAATTTTAGGATTTGTCCCACAGAGACACTCACATATATGACATTATATGAGGTCTGTCCAGAACATATCCAGCCATGTAATATGAAAAATAGAGACATTTATTGGAGAAGATACAACTTACAAGAAACATTGAACATAGGACAATGACACCGCAGTCCCCTTCAGCGTAGGCACCTTGGGATCTCACACAGTTCTCCCAGTTGCCATCAGCTGCCCTGTCGTATTTTCCTGAATCTCATCAACAGTCTAAAATCTCTTTCCTTTCAAAGGTGATTTTAGTTTTAGGAAAAGGCAGAAGGTGCAGGGCACCAAATCTGGACCATAGTGAGGCTGAGTCACCTGGGTGATTTGATGTTTTGCCAAAAACCTCTGCACAAGACATGAGGCATGAATGGATGCATTGTCACGATGAAGCTGCCAATCACCATTTGCCCATAGCTGTGGCCTTCTGAATCATTCAAATAGTTTCCCCAGAGGAATATTCAAGCTTAACACAAAACTTAATGCAGATTCATTGTTCTACTTGCTCAGTCATTTTGAATGCAACAGCCACACAGTACACATGCTTACTCAATGACGTCTACCACCCCCACAAACTAGTACAGTGAGGTCAGCATTGTTCGTACATGCACATTCCAGTCAACTCTCCTTGGCATGCGAAGTGTTCTCATTATATTAACAATGGCTGGACTTTTTCCAGACCTCATATTTCAGCCAGGTTATTCACTCCAGCATTGTCAATGGTAGTAAAACACTGGAGACATCCTCACTATTTAACAGCTGGAGATTGCTTAAATGAATTAGGGTCACTCCTACACTGGAACTCTACATGGCCACAGGGCAAAATGTGGGGAAGCTCCCCAGGTGCTTAATTGGATGGTGTCTGAAATACCTTGCTTAAAAGAAAATGTAAGGTGCAAGACAATGAGTATTGCATGCTAGCTGTGTATAAAAAAAATGAAGGAGAAAAGAAGAATATGTTTATTGTGGCTTATATATGCATCAAATACCTATTGAAAAACAAGAAAGCAGCCATTTTTTTCTTGCTGCTCAGCCGGGGAACTGGGTGGTTGAGAAACAAAAGTTGGAGGCTGACTTCATTTTAAGTTTTCGGCCAGCTGAATAAATTATCTACCACAAAAGCAATTGAATACATGCTTTTAAAAAAGGGTTCCTTCTGCCCTTCTATTCAGAAGTTCTTAAAAATGACTTGGCAGGGACATATGGAGATTCCCATCAAGGCCCTTGGAGTAGACACAGGTCTGTTTTTCTCATCATGAACTAATAGAGGAAGATGGCTGAGGACCCCTGCATGCTTCTTATAAAGTCTTTGTGGTGCCTGATCTCAAAGAGCTTATGGTCTTTCTTATGGGAAGAAGACTCAAAGTTTTAAAAAAATCAAATGACAGAGAAAATCAGAAGTGAGATTGTGCCGTACAAACTTCAAGTGCTGTGGTTCAGAATTGAGAGATAGTAAGGGTCACCTTTTGGAGGTGTCAGAACTCAGATGGGTGCACCAGAAGGGCCCAATTTGCTTGTGGGTAGTGGGGGAAGTGACTGAAAGCCGGTCAAGAGCGAGCCCCTCCCCCACAGAGTGTCACAACGCAGTGACCTGGGTTGCCCAACCCTGGCGAATACCTAAGGCTCCGCCCCTTCCAACGTAACAGGTGCGCTGAGACAAAGAAATATGGGCCAAATTAAAAAACAGAGCAAAGCTCCCAAAATAGAGCCAAGCGATAAAGAGATAGCCAAACAACCAGATGCACAGTTCAACACTGGTAGCCTGGATGCTCACTAAATTTGTTGAGTATGGTTGCAAAATGGAGGAAAAAGCGAAGGCTATGCAAAGTGAAATAAAGAATGATATACGGGGAACCAACAGTGAAGGGAAGGAAACCAGGACTCAAATCAACGATTTGGAGCAGAAGGAAGAGAAACATTCAACCAGAACAGAATGGAGAAACAAGAATTCAAAAAATGAGGAGAGACTTAGGAACCTCTGGGACAACTTAAAACTTTCCAACATCCAAGTTATAGGGGTGCCAGAAGGAGAAGAG